CAGACACTGGACGCTCCATCATTGCTGGCGCCGGTGATGGTTTCAGATGCTAAAGCTTTGTTCGACTCCTACCACAGAGAAGGAGTGTCAAGCTCGGTGGTGGACAAAAGAGTCTCCCTGGAGATCAAGGTCATGAAGGACAGGCTGACAGCCTTAACGGCATTCTGAGGTGGATGTCATCGGAGCGGGAGTTTGCCGACGGCCTCACCAAGGAGTCAGCTCGCTTGTTGCTAGCTCAACGTCTTCGCCATGGCCGCCTTAAGTTGGTTTGGGACCCAACCTACAAAGCAGCCAAGAAGAAAACCAAAGAAGAGCTGCTTCAAAGCCGAATGGAAAGCGTTCATGATCATGTTCAAGTACCAGCTTCCCCCACTGCAGTGAATGAATGGTCAGAGCTTTCTGGGGCCGACTACAAGTCTGCCAAGATGGAGATTGAAATGGATGAGCCGGTGTCTTGGTATGAGCAGGCCACTCCGAATGTCCTGATGGCAAAGACCAATGACCAGTTGACCTATGTCTTCCGTAGGTCCTGCCATGTCGACCGCTGCCGCAAGAAGGTCTACATCTGTCGCCTGAAGAACGTCATTTGTTGGTTGTGGTTGATCTTTTTGGTGCCCCAGCTGGCCTACGGAATTGAATTTGGAATGGAAAAGAAGGAAGACGCTAATGTTCTTGGCATTGCACTTTGCGCCCTTTTCTGCATGGTCTTGAGTTCTGTTTTCCTCCTGGGCCGATGGTCTAAAAGAGAGAGCTCACTCCACCGCTGAGAACCGCATTCCAAGCGGTCCTCAACTCGGGCATGAATGTTTCTGGAAGCGCGGTTGGCAATCAACACTCCTATAAACTACTTTTCTTTGTACACTCTCGTGAGATGGCTTCCTGGAATCAGCCTCGAGTTCACCAAGTCACGCAGAGGCGGGGAGTCGGTCTTGAAATGGCTGTGGCAATATATAGGTCTTGTAAGAACTAATGTCAGGATCGGCATTCTCTGCCAGCTCAGCATAGGTCTTGGCACCCTTGAACTTACCCAACGACACAACGGTCTGGCCCCAACGCTCAAATGAGGGAACTCCATGTGGAAGAGCGATGCGCGGAGCCAAGACAGGTGTCTTGTCACCAGCTGAAGACATGGGCATCGGTGGAGGCAGCAACTCTGATCTGAAGGCGGCGGCTGCACAGGGCGTCATCTTGGCAGCTTCATCATTCCCACCAAGTCGCTTTGACCCGTCAGTCATGGCTGCGGAAGGGGATTTCTCCCTTGGGCAGGCTAGTATACAGTGCTTGGTATCTCTTTGGCAAGTGAGCGGACAGGAATGCTCCTTTGATGTCCCCTCAATGCCATTTGCCAACAATGGCTAGCATTTAGCTGGAAAATCAAGTCGCGACCTACCTGAGACAAAATCGGACTTGGGAATCTGTCAAGTCAGGGTGCAAGTGGCCCAGCAAGCACCAACGAGCTTTCATCCGGGGAGCCTGGTCATCTTGTTTGACCGTCGGCGCGAAACGGCTACCCTTGATCCTGTGGCTCATGTGTTTGCGAACCTCGTCGGCCTCCGGGCCAATGACAGCTCTGGCACTGGCTGCACGCTTCGAAGATACAGTACCTCATTCTAAGCATTTCTGCTTCATCAACTTTGACTTTCAGATGTATATCAGGGGATTACCTACTGCAGGAATCTCTTTGGATGATTTTATTTTCATATGAGCTGCAACCAAGGCTTCATGTGAGGCACCTTGCCGAAACACGCGCACAAGTTCCAATTTCTCTTCGTGTGACAGGCTTTCACCCTGATGCTCAAAATGTTCTTTCATCAGCAATTCAACAGAACAAGTGGCTACTTTGTCGCGAGCAAAAGCATCACCACTCTGGACGCACAGTGAGGGATCGAAATCTGCTGGAGTTGGTTTCTTCCCAACATCTTCTTCAGACGGAGACGACTCGACGTCGTTTTTCAGCTGAACGTTTCACACCTCGATCGGAGCTTGAGGAAGAGGACGACAGCCCCTCCCCTGCCTGGTATCAAGAACTTACTTGGAACGATCTCTTGCATCATGTCTAGTCCTCTTGCAGCATGGGCCCAGGCCAGTGCAGGGCTGTTGGACTATCCATTTGAAAGGCTGTTGCCTGGCAACCGGGCGTCCCTTTTGCATCCAGCATTCTCTTTCAGGACGGCTCCACTACCAGTTCTTTTGCCAACAGCTTATGCTGTGCTACCTTGGCTTTTGCCAAACCAGCATCACTGAATGCGATTTAGGCAGGCTACTGCTGTTGCCAAAAAACCAATTGCCACTGAATGGCGGTAGGGAGCGTGCGTGATGCGACTGTGGACATCAAAGTCGTAAGACATAGTACTAACATATTGAGTACTGACCATGTACTAACATATTGAGTACTGACCATGTCCAGTCCAATGTAAGACCATTAAATGTTCGCAAAGCATCGTGCTCCTGACAAAGTTTCAGAAAAAGGTGTATGTTTTCCATTGTTACGTCATCACACACCAACGTCGTGCCAATATAATCATTTTGATGGGCTGGATCTGGGTCCTCTGGCAACCTATTACTAGTGGCAGTTGCTGACTAAACATGTTTTTTTGATTTTTTTCTATTGCAGGTGTGCTTACTACCTGCAACGTTTGCTTGTCAGTGTGTAGCGGGGCGGTTGCAGAGCATTTGTACGCTGCCGTGCCGTTGACCTACGTGCAAGAGTTGAACGAGTTCTCGCCTGAGACCTTCGGCTTTCATTTCGGTTGCCACTTTGGATGCGGCTTTCACTTCTGCCCATGAAATGTTGGACGTGGCTCCGGAGTTCAATGGTTTCTCCACCCAGTTTGGTCTTGACACTGGCGCCACTGCTGCGGCGGTTGTGAAAGACTTTCTATTTTAGACACCTGCGTGTCCTGAACACCCAAGTGTGTGAAACTCCTTGGCCCAATTTTGACGTCTGTGCGCTTGATCAATCGTTGCGGTGTGACCTCCGTGTTTTCTGGTTTGGAACTCAAGAGGCCAGCTTCCTTTTCCTCGAGCAAACCATGTAAGAAGACTTGCTAAGGGGCCCTCACGCGCGCAGGCTGGCTAAGGGGTTTCTGCACATCACTGTCCGCTCTTCACGTTCACTATTTATATAATACTATTTAGTAATTTTTCAGGACCTGTGTGACTTGAATTTGTCACATTTTTCATTCCACTGGATCTTTGCACGCATAGCGTGCCTGGGGTTTTACATTGAAACCTTTGCTTGGGTGAGGATGTGTTTTCCTGAATTCCTTCCACCGTATGATCTTTTCCTGAACTTGCTGAGCGCCTTCATGGCGGTTGTTTCTCATGTTCGCTCTATTTCAGCTTTGAGATATTCCAGGGTGTCAGAGTCCGGGCATCGTCGTGACTAAGGGGGGCGATACAGTCAAAATGTACATGGGATTGCGTGATTCACGCTCGCACTCTGTTCTTCATGGGTGTCTTGCGCAAGAGACAGCTTCGAACAAATGTGCGAGGAGCAGCCTTGGTGCGTGCGAGAGGCGGCTAGGGTTTTGCAGATAAAAATCAGTAGTGACAGAGAAGGCGAGTTGGTTATACAGATGGTGTTTCTCGATTGGTTGCCCAGGACGCAGGTTTGCCTGGAACACTTGTGTTGTCCAATGGGGGTTTCTGATCAGGTGCAGGACCCACTCAAACCTTCGGCTGCAGAGGTTCAGGCGCAGGGAATGGAGGAAACACGGAATGAATGTTTGCTCAATTTGCTCAGGGAGCATCTTCATTATAACTATAACAACAATATTGATTTCGCCAAACAATGCACCTAATGATTAGACCTAATGTATCCTAATGTGAGCTGGTCAGAACAGCATGCATTGCGTTGGTTGAAGGGCACGGTATGTGTTATGATATGCATGTACCTCAAACTGCGATACTAGAAACGTCGAACCAAGCAAATGAATATGACACTAACACTTTTCGTTTTAACTTCACACAGACACACAGATGGCATTTGCCCATTCACCGCAACACATTTCAGATCAGAGTTGCCTGCAATACTACCGTACTAACTTTCCATTGGGCACAGTTGGGCGAATAAGGTCTCAGTCTCAATGACATGTTGCATCGTCCTGCCCTGCATGTCCTTTGTTGAGGTAAAGCTGCACTGTCCTTTTTGGAGGTACTGTAAAACTCTTGTTGCTAGCGACAACTGAGTTGCCAAGCAGTCAGGCCAACACTCGAGCACGCTCAGCGCGAGCGCTCGTTCTTGAGAAGCGATGCCGTGAGTGGGGCAAAAGGATGAAACACGCGTCAGTCAGATGAGTCAGATGTGTTGATGTGCCTCATCAAACCTTGATTATCATCCACTGCAACTTGCAAGATCCGAGACTTTGTCAAGGAGGTTCTGTTCTCTGCAACAGTCACTGGACCAGGTAACCTCCGTGCCTGCTCCAGCTGTGTCACATTTTTGAGTTTGTTGGCTTCGTGATGGGAGATGCTTGACAGCTGCACAACTAGAATATGAACATCAAGAGCAAAGGATCTGCGGGACAGACCCAGGTACATGTCGCTTAGTGGACTCTGTGGCCGCCAATCCTTTTGTAGAGGTATACGTTGAAGCTAGGTACGGTGCTCTTCAGGATTTGTGGGCCAGATGGCTTCTTGGCTCAGATGTTGTAGCAGCGTAGCATGACCGTCTGACCGCACAGAGCTGCCGGAGCCCCATCTTTGTGAGATGCATATCACAAGGACCGCAAAGAAGATGGCCAGATCTTGCAATCAAGACTACGGTAGGTCCTCGGAGAGGAACATTGATTTGCTTTTTTTTTCACTTAACAGCTTTGCAGCGCGACAACAAGCTATCCTCTTTCACGAGTTTTGCCGTTGGGCACAAGGACATATGACATATATACACGGCTTCTTATTTTAGGATAAATCAGGTGCCAAGCTGCAAATTATGTTGTAGAGAGCCAATGATAGGGGTTCGAAATCATGCACGTCGTTTTGAAAGCTGACAGGTCTAGATGGCACGCCGGAGACTGGCTGTGGTAGGCTTAGCCATGGATGGTACTATGTCCGAACCAGTAGTCAATTCTGATGTTCATCCATCGGAGCTTGCACCAGCTACAGCAGCAGTTTTGCTTTCACGTTGTGAACCTGCTCCCAACAACAACTTGCCTACTTTTGAATTAATGAAGATGTGCGAGGACTGAGAGATGAGCTGGGGAACCATTTCAGGAAAGCTAGTGATAGCTAGGCAGAGTTCTCTTGCTTTGGCAAACATGATTGGGGTACAGGTTTCGTTAAAGAGATTGAGTTTGAATAGACAGTAAAGACACGTTGCGGCAAGTACGTTACCACGTAAAGCACCATGCAATCGAGGAATTGAACCTTTTGATGAGCATCTAATGACCAGACGTGACAGATTCCAGATTCCATCATTTGTCGACAACTCGCTTTTTGATCTGGGAAGGCACAGTATCAAAATAGCAAATTTCACGCTAGTTGGTGCTTATGTTGGTGTGGGGCCTCTCGCAAAGCTGCTGGGTCTAGGTTTTGGTGGCGTGCCTAGCAGCTGGGGTGCCCAGATGCTGTTTAACACTACCAGGAACCAGACACGGTTATGCAGTCACCAACAAAGTTGGTAGCCTCCGGTAGCGAGGCGGAGGTTTTGATTGGTATCCATCATGGAAAAGGTAGCTGCAAACTCTTGAAACATCGGCAAATTGATGTGAGTTCAAGTGATGCGTACTGTTGGGTCTGCGAGCCCCTACGCTCCGACTCTAGAGGTTGTGGGAATATCAAACCAGGCACAAACCAAATCAACCCTTGAACCACTAGGAGTATTCCCCAAACAGTTACACCGGAGAAAACTAACATGTTTGCAAAACAACTTTTTTTTCCCGAAAGCACCTGCGAAGGGTTTCTTCCAAAGGAAATGTGCTAACACCATCTTCCAACATAATCTTTATCATGATCGCTACTATCACATCATCATCATCATCATCATCATCATCATCATCATCATCATCATCA